CAGCAAGTATTGTCCTGCTGGACTTTAAATGGTACACTCAGTGTTTATGACCTCATCAGTAACCGTCTCAGCCATTCCAAGCACCTTCAGAGCGACACGAGAGTCTTCGCCAGCTGAATCAAATGCCTCCCTGGAAGATAATCTGGTCTTTGCAGCCAATCTTCCAGTAGTGTCACACTTCCCAGTCCTTCCTTCTCACTTCCCAGTCCCTTACTTTTATTCTCCTGTTCTTCTTTTATTCTCTCACCTCTCCTCACCACCTACCCCAGCTCTGGTTCATCCGCGAATTCAGCATCTCGCTTCTTCTCCTTTCGACCACCTTCTCCAACAGCTTTTTCCATCTGCCCCCTCCGGGCGGATTGCGCGTCCTCGCCCCAGCTCCCACTGGCCGTCTCTCTCCAGAGGCCAGCGTTCTGTGCTGCTGTCTCACGGCTGCAGCTGGTGCTAGGACAGGGTCAGGGTTACTACAGAAAGTGTCACCGAGAGTTCTGTTTAAGCAGCTCCTCAAAGATGCAGCTACTCTTCGGTACTCTGTCTCCCCACTGATGCCTAAAAACCAAGACCAAATGAAAACCCAGGATTTTGAAAGAAGCTGATCTGGGATTGTAATCAATTCCGTTATGTGAGGTATGGCACGGAACTACACATATACTGTTCGCAGATGGATTCCAGGGATTGCTGGTTGGACGCTCACGTCTTAACCAGTCCCTTATTAAAACTTTCAGCATAACAAGCAGAGCTGCTAATAATACCACTGAGCTGCTCCTTTTCTGCCGAGGACGGCAAACTCCCCTGAAGCTCTCCTTCCGCTCCCTGTCATTTGGAACATTAACAAAGGAAATCCGACCTGCGTTCTGAGCACTGACTGATGACACAAAACTGCCAGTTCCGGGCCACACTAACTTTGCGAGGCGGCACGTCGACACGCCCGCGTTCAAGTGTAACTAAAAGCCGGCGATTTTTAAATGTTCTCGACTATACACTACACCATTGTTCTAGGTTGGTCATGTTTGAGCCCACTGTGTTGGAGGGGAAGGGCTTTCGAGAGATCCCCAACTCGACCCATTTCCGATGACACCATGTTATCAGAATTTCCACCGACTGGAGGACCTGGAGCTGGGAGCCGGGGGGCAGCGAGCCCCTCCCCACCCCACACCACAGAGGGTGACATAATTGAAATGAGGATTCTGTCGATTTTTACAAATCAAACGACATCTCCCTGGCCTTCCTACCGTTCACCTGCCCACAGAATTACCCCTGCGCCCAGACAGCTAGATAGGTTTGTCTCCCGGCAGCGGAGTGTGTGTGCGGCCCCCTCCCAGCCATATCTCCCTCTTCATTCGGGGTGCGGGAGGAAAGGAGCGGTGCGCACTCCCTGGGCAGAGAGGGAAGGAAGACTTGCTGGGAGGGGATCCCACTGAAATGGGGGATGGGTGCAGAACCTTAATTCGCTTCCTCATGTGACCTGCTCCCCAAACAGGACTCTTTCAGGCTGCCAGCACAAATGCATGTCTCCAGAGAGGTGTCCACACGGCCCCAGCACCGGGTGCCTCCCTGGGGTTTTGGGGTGTCATCACTGCATCCTGTGGGGCAAGGGAGTGCCCCTCTCTCTAGACGTGGGAACAGGGGCACAGAAGACACGCACTTGCCCAAGGTCACTCACCAGGTCTGTGGCAGGGTCAGATGGCCCGAGCTCCCCTCTTCCCAGGAATAGCTTCAGGTTCAGGTGAGGCCAGGCCCTGCCAGCCCCAGCCCAGCCCAGCATGGGCAGAGCAGGGGCAGAGCCCAGCAGGCCCCCACCATCACACAGCAGCAAGCACTCACCAGTGGTCAGTTTCAGGTTCTCCGTCAGGCTGGACACCTTTTCCTGGACTTCCCACTCCGCCTGGCCAGACGAACTGACAATCTCCACCATGTGCCAGTGCACCCAGTAGGTGCGGCCCAGCGCCTGCCAATAAACCTGGGGGGAGCCCCACAAACCGGTTACTGAGGGCAGCTTGCCCACAACCCAGGAGGAGCAGCCTGGCCCACAGAACCCCTCAAGCCAGCAGGGAAGCCCAAGGCCTCCGCCAGCCCCAGCGGCACTCTCCAAACCCACACAGGAACAGGACGCAGCCAGGCACCAGGGAGCTGCAGGCCAAGAGGCTCCCCCAGACACCGGGCAAGTGCCCGGCAGCCCTGACCCAGCCCCCCCGCTGCCAGCAGGCGTACCTGGACAGGCGGCGTGCCGTCGTTGCTCTGGCGGAACTCGCCCTCGTCCCCAGCGCTGACCTGCTCGTAGTCCTCCAGCATGCGCACCCGCATGCCCCGCACCAAGTTCCCCTGCACGTACTCCACATAGCTGCTGCGGCTCGGGAAGGCAGAGCGCGTCTTGAAGGCACTGGCTTCTTTCTGGGGTGGGCAGGAGGCCACCTGGACGGCGGCGCAGGCGGGAGCCTTGGGCTGGAAGATGGAGCGGACGCCCCGCGGCTGCCCCTCCTGCAGGGACAGCAGCTCCATCCTCTGGCTG